ATAAGATCTAATTAACTTAAGAGTGGGTCACCATCACTTGATTTTTATTGGGGCACTTTGCACAGATATTCACCATAATACGTTTCATTGCTAATCCTTAACTCTTTTTAAAATACTCATTGTTTAGCAGCAATAGTTCTATTTTTAGTTAAATTCTATCTACCTCAAATTTAGTAGAAAGCAATTTTCAACCACAAATACCGCTCTTCTGTATTTAGTAAAATTTTAGCTAATAAAAAAGTAATCAGTTTAATATTAAGAAAAATAAAAAGCTCCTCCTAGCATTCCTATATTATAAAGCAGTCGATAAGTTTAAGCCACTCCAATTTTAAACTCGGTCTAAAAGCTAGAAACACTCATACATCAATATTTTAAATAGATCCCTCTTATTATTTGGCCAGTAACCCAAACAGAAATTTTATCATAAAGCAAAAAGAATATTATACTCAGTAGTAAAAAGTCTCAGAGAACAAAGTATTCAGCAATTTATTCTAACACATAACAAGGTACAGACCCTGATCATTCAGAACATTTGAGATGGAAATATATTCATTTAAACAAAAGCTTTAAATTCACAAATAATTGAGCACCTATCATCTGTTAAGAATAAATCCTTTAGCAAGAAAATCTATTAAATTTTTTTCAAGTAACAAATGTAACATCTTCTAAGAAAATTACATACTAATATTCCCAAAGCAATTGGTTGAACCCAGGGGTGCTCAACCACTGAGTCACATTCTCAGCTCTTTTAATTTTTTTTATTTTGAGACAGGGCCTTACTAAATTGCTGAGGCTGGCCCCAAACTTGTGATCCTCCTACCTCAGCCTCCTAAGTTGCTGAAATTACAAGTGTGTACCACCATGCTCTGCTCCTCTAAGCGGTTTTGATGGCTTTTCAATGTTCTGTTAGTTTTATACATTTTCAGCCCTTTTTTTAGTTTTTTATTTTGAGACAGGGGTAAAGTTGCCAAGGCTGGCCTCAAACTTGTGATCTCCAGCCTCACCCTCCCAATTTGCTAAAATTCTCAGTGTGCACCATACAACCACTCTGTTTTATACATTTAAATATAACTATGGCAGTATATACACATGTATGTCTCAGTAGTAACGTGGAGAAAGGCAGAGCTGTTAGGATTTACATAACATACCTATAAAAATAAACCTACAGGTTTAGTTTAATGCATGAGCCAGGAGTGTTGGTGCAGGCCTGTAATCCCAGTGACTCAGGAGGCTGAGGCAGGATCACAAGTTCAAGGCCAGCCTCAGCAACTCAGCAAGGTCTTGTCTAAAAAGAGGGAGCATGGGGGCAGGAAAGATGGTAGAATGAGATGGACATCATTGCCCTAGGTACATGTATGACTGCACATATGGTGCGATGCTATACATGTACAGCCAGAGAAATGAAAAGTTGTGCTACCACTTGGTACAATGAATCAAAATGCATTCTGCTGTCATATATACCTAATTTTAAAAAGTAAATTGATTTTTAAAAATTAAAAATAAAAAGGTCTGGATATATGGCTCAGTGGTTGGAACACCCCTGGGCATAATCTTCAATAACCACTTACTATAACCATTTCAGTAACTTAAAAATCCAATTTAATAACAGTTATAATTTTCCTGAAACTACTAAAATGTGTATTGAGGGGAGGAATTTCTCCTAATATTTTAAGCAGGTTTTCTCTCTACTTCCTTATTTTTAGATCCAAAAGTCCTAGAGTTTAATGTGGTATATATGTAGAAAATTCTCTGACTAGAAGCTATGAGAAGTCAGAAAAGCCAAAATTGTAGGAGAGTTATCAGAGTCCTATAGGGTTGAAATGTAGACCTGTAAAGGTTCTAAACTTAAGGATCAAAGAGATCCTTTACACTGACAACAAAAGCCAAGTATGATCAAAATGTAGTCTCTAAAAATAAAATTAACTCTCCAATTACATTATGGTTTTCTACAAATCCATTTAAACAGATAAACAAGTAATCCCCCAAACTCAGCTATCCTTAGCTATCCTAAGAACAAAACCCATTATCCCCCTAGGGAACAAATGTTTCAAAACTTTCTGGGAACAAAAATTATACATAACCTTTTAATAAATTTACCTCCACAATTTTTATTATGTATAGTCAATTGATTATTACTTATAAAGTATTTTAAATAAGGCACAATACTTTTTTTTAAAAGTCTATTTTATAGAAGCAAAACAAAACTCAAAGCAATGAAGCAAGCAAGTATGAAGCTAGTAGATTTCAGGAGGCAGAAGCTTTTATCATTTCTAACTATCATATTTTTAAAGCCAAGTGATTCAAGATTCTTTGTATATCAAAGACCTGACCAAGGTCACTATCAAGAAAACCCTGGGCATAGGCAGTGTTACCTCCTCTGGCTACATAAATGAAATGTATAAGAATACATCGATTCTTACATTGGATAGTAAGTTTCAAGTACCAATCTTCTTCTGAATCATAGTTCTCAACTACAAAGCCCATAAAATAATTGTATAGCATTTAATATAGTAGTGAAGGATCTTACATACTCAAACAAGAGCATAATACAAATGAGTATTGATCCCAAATCACTATGCAAACTCTCCCATTACTGACCTACATTTCATTACATAATAAAATATTTCAAAGATTCAAAGTAAGGTTGTGTGCTCAACCTTCAGGGATGAAACTCGCTGGTATGCAGAAAATCCCTAAGCCAGTTATTTCAATAATTATTCTGTAGAATAGAACCTCATTATCAACCTTGTTCTCATATTCACCATGAAGTAAATTCTACTCTAAAATATTAAAAATGGATCAGAAAATCATAAAAAGGTGTATATACTCCAGTCTTTTTAAGTACTATCATATTGAAAAGCACTCACTCATCTTTTAGTTGCTCCACAATCTGAATGGTCATTAAAAGCCATTAATGGCCCACTGAAAACCTCCCGCTATGGAAATGATTCTAATTACTCACACTTTTAAAAATATAGATAAATGACACCTGACAGCATTTAATTTTCAGTCTCAGTCCATAAGATTCTGCATATGACAAAAAATGGATTCTAAACCCTATTATGGTAACACTTTTACTTAAGGTTTATTAGAGTGGACAATCTCTTAATGGGTAAATGGTAATGTTTGGGGGGTGAAGGACCAAGAACCAAACCAAAGCCTTACTGTTTTTACTTACATAATGATGATAAGTATGCTACAAGACAAATTTAAAAGCAAGCAAAATATGGAGCTTCACTTCATCAAATATACAATTAACTTTGAAAATTCTTAAGGAAAGCTTCAAATACATGGGAAAAAACAGATGCAAAATATAACAGCATCTGAACACCTAGTGAAGTAACAGGTTTAGGCTTGTTTGTACAGCTCCCTAAAATTTACTCTGAAACAGAATACAAAACCCAAAATGCACAAAATTTGTCAAGAGTTGAATGGAAATGTTTTACTATAGATTAAAATGTCCAATCATATGAAATAGATTACACTTACACACTTAGCAGAATATTTTAATATACTCTGACATATTGAATAAAAGATGGTTGAATTGAACCCAACATAAACTATTACTGGTACCTAAATAATATTTTTAATATTTAACTGCATCCATCCTGACCACTGAAATTTCCAAGACTACCTGAGTGTTTTTATTATTTTAGAAGTGGTATCAATTTATTTGCCTCTCAGGAAAAAAAACAATAAAATTAATCTACTAAAACACAAGGATTGTAATTTGCAGTAAAATCGACACCTTTTTGTAAATGACTTGGGGTGGGGGGGAAATCCCAGTCTTTTCATGTAAACATAATAAGCCTGTAATATGCTGCAGACAAACGCACTGCATGGGGTGTGGAGGACCCGAGCTGATTAGATTACCACAACATCAGCCTGGGGCCGCCATTTTTAGAATCTGTAAAGGACAAAAGAGGGAAATTACAGTTTTTACTCCCCATCTCGAAAATTAAAGGGAAAAAAGGACTATTTTCCAACTAGGTATTGATGTTTCCTGTCTACAGCTGAATGCACCTCACCTAATTCTCTCCAAGGTCTTCAGAACTCCAAACACCTTAGTTATTCACATCTCTAAAAGGTGGAATAAAATAGGTAGCACGGGGTTTACTCTAGAGCTAAGATTTCTCTTTGACCTTAAATTGTATCATTCTCAAGAGACAGCTCAGCTAGAACGTATCTACACGGAACTAAGGCTAGTGGAAGAGAGCACTCCGGATTGTTTTTTCTCTCCCTCCTCCCCCGTTTAGCACAGGGAACCGTTTGTTTCTCATCTGAGTCTGCTGCCACAGTGTTTGTGCCAATCCCTCGGTCAAAGTAAGCTTTTCTGAAATAAGCCATATTGTGGATTCTAAGGCTCTGGCACAGTAAAGGACGGCAGTAATGCAAGAGGGGTGGGGGGAGGAGACTGAGAAGGCTGGGTACTGGGGTGACCACCTCAGGGGCGGGTTTATCCTCTCCCAGAGAGGATGAGGAGCTGTCTCGTTTTCCCACAAAGAGGGATGCCCAGGGCGTTCTTTTAACCCCCTTCATATTTACGCGAGCACTATGCCCGAGACTGCCAATCAAGAGATGGAAAAAGAAGAGAATGGGGCCTACACAGCTTTTCAACACCTGAACAAGACGCAGCTGAGAAAAGCGAGAGCCGGTAGCTCCTGGGACCTCTTGGACACAAACCCTACCAACAGTCACAAGCGTCCTCCTCACCCAAGCGGCCTTAACCCGCTGCCAGGGAGGAGTGCGCCCCCTCCCTAACTCCCACTCTCAAGGGGGTTTAACTGCCAGTTTCCCCTTCCACTACCCTAAAACCCGCCATAATGCTCCATTTCTAGGGACAAGCAAGAGAAAGGATACATTCGATTAAAACGAGCAAAGTCTTGCCCCAGCAAAGACACCTGAGAGTCAATGTCGACTGCCCCCCTCCCGAAGGATAAAGATGAGAAGCCCCCACCCTGCAAACCCCACGAACTCCCACGGAGACGACAGGCACTGACCTGTGATGTTCACACACCAGACACCCGAACCCCGTTATTTGCTCGACCCCCAAGGAGTCTCTCCACACCTTCGCAATCAGACGAACCCCCGACAGCAGCCACTGCGGACACAGGACCCGGCTCCACACACCCCCTCCCCAAACAGCAGCGCGCAGCCTCTTCGCCAGGAGCCAAGGAGTAGGGGAGGGGGCACCCAGGCAGTCAACAAGAACGCAGAGGCGGCGGCGAGGTTGTTCGGTGTGTCTATGCCCCCTCTGTTGCCGCTCCCGAACTCAGGCACCGTCTCCGACTCGGCCCCCTGCGCCCGCTCAGTGTCACTGCTTCTCGCTCTGGGAAAATGGCGGCGACGGCGGCGGCGGCCGCGGCGGCGGCGGCGGCGGCGGCGGCGGCAAGTGCACGGGGCCAGCCCGCCCCGCTCCGCAGGGGCAGGGGGGAGGGGACGAAGCTGTCTGCCGCCATTTTGCTTATGGGCTGCCGCCCGCCGTTGCCCCTCCACAGAGTCGCGAAGGTAACTGAAGACAGTAAGATGGATAGAGTCTCAGTCTTTTTCACAACAGAGGCATTCAACAGTTCACCAAAGGTTTGGGGGAAGTTTCGGTATTTGACGGAATCGGTTCTTTACCGGTTTTCCCTGAGTAGCCCTCATGTCTGGTTATAAGTGAGCTTGGGCATGTCACTGTGGGGAAAGATGATGACCGTAGGGCCTGGATAGACCCCTGTCTCCATTGCCCTCCTAGAGCGATGCACTTTCTTCCACCCGCAAAACAACCTCGGCCCCAGTCTCCCCCTCCCCCGCCCTAGTCTGGCCACCAGCGCTGGGCGAACCCGGCTGGGGTGTCATTCGACGCCCACTAGGGGCCGAGGAACTTCCAGTGCGCAGGCTCCGGGCACCGGATAAAAGCGGAGCTGGTGGGTCCAGCGCCGTCTCGATGGAGGAGCGAAACTGAAGAGTTCTGGGGGAGAAGCAACAGAAAACATGCAGTCACTGCCAGCGCCGCCTCCCTGCCACCGTGTATCGGGGTAAAAGCTGCCGTTGCCATCGGTGCAGTTGCCGTCGCTGCCTCCTATACTTCTCTTGGCCCCGGGAAAGGATTTCCCTGCTGCGGGACAATATGCGGGGAGGGGAGCGGTGATTCCTTTAAGTGGCGGTGATTAAACGAGGAAGGGGCAGAGAGACTGCTATATCTAAGACAAAAAGGGGAGGCCAAATAATAAAACAAGGATTCCCCCACTAAAGTGACACGGCAATTCCGGCTCTCCTTTTGGGGGGGGGGGTCTCTCCCCGAAATGGCGGTTTCCGTCTTCTTGCCCCACAGCGACCCGGAGCTCTTGGTAAGCTGAGTGGGGAGAGGCAGAGGCGGTCTCAGCAGCCAATCGGTGCCCGATGTGTTCTGTCGGGCGCGTTGTGATTGGGTAGCGATGACCTCATGCTGCAGCAGCGGGTGGGGCCAAGGCCGCCGGGGGAGACTGTTGCAAAGGCAGAGAGGGAGAAGTGACGATGGTGATCGTAGCTGCCGCGGCCGATATGGAACCCAAGCAGTGGCGAAGGGAATCTCAAGGCTCCTCCCTGACCATTTTCTCCTCTCCCTGCGCGAGGTGAGGGCCCTGGCTCGGCCTCTGCGAGACTTTGGGGCGATGGCGCGGACGTGGAGACACGATTGCTCCTGTGACTTTTTAACTGCGTCAGGGCAAGATGGCGCTGGGTCTCCTTGGGGCGCGGGGGGAGAGGCACGTCCACCGCCGCCGCAGCGCATGTGACCGGCCGCATTCCTGTGGGGTTTGGCGCAGACCCAGGCTGGGGCGGGGGAGGGGACAGGGCTTGGGCGGAGGAGACTTTGGTGCGGTCGGCGTTGGCGGCCTGAAGAGGAAGAGATGACTCTTTCAAAGCTTCCCCTCCCCCACATAGCAGAGCAGCTGCGCCTCGCGGGAAAGCCCCGGGAGGGACACTCCTTTCGGGTGTGACTGCTGTTGGTGGAGGAGGTTTGGCGCCCTAATTTCTTATCAACCTTTCTCCTTGCAAATAGTACTTACGTAAGATGGCAAGTCCCTCCTCTAGAAATGGGAATCTATTATGAGTCTCTGAGGGCCACTTGGGTGGGTAGCCAGAGGCGAGGCTATCTCCTGGGTTCGGAGAGTGGGGACACAATGACTGTTTCTGGGAAAACGTGAAGTTTCTCAGATCTGAATAGAAAAATAGAGTAATACCAAAATTTAGAAGCAGGTGTAAAACAGCCAAAGACTGTCATCTGAATTGTAGGGCACTTTTCAAATTCTCCTTCCATTTGTACCTTCTGTTCTTCCTTCCACTACCCTCCCTTGTCTGTAAATCCTGTAAGACTGTGTAATCCTATTGGTGGGATTTGCCTTTCTATTTAAATATAGGCAGAATAAAAGCTGCCAGTATCTGTATGAACTTATAAGGTGGTTTTCAATACTTTTATTATGTTGCCTTTCGTCTTTATTCCTGCGTTTAAAAATAAAAGATGGACTTGTAAGCACTTCTGATAAATAATATTCAATAAGGTCCCTGAATGATAAATATTAAAGCCTACCTCTTTAAATCAATTTTGTAGTCGTATGAACTAAGTTTTTGAAACCTTGAATAGGTGAAGATGTCCAGAAGCTCAAGACTTTTTAAAGACTATGCATTTATATATTTTTGTTATTCCCACTTGACCATTCTAGTTAATAGTAGCCAAAAACAAGAGAAGATTTAAAGGCGTTCTCTTCCTTTGGATGGTGTTGAACGGGGAATTGTTCAACAAAGATACTTGGAACTAAAATCTTGACGTCTTATTGACAATATGTGTATTAGATGTTAGGAGGAAGTGCTTCCTGGACATAAAAGGATGACTTTAACAGGGGTCAAGATTGTAACGTTTCTTTAGTTGTAGGTTTTCTGAAGTTCGTAAACAAGATTGTGTTTTTAATTAATTTGCTTATTATTAAATTCTTAACTAGTTTATGGGGATTTCTTTTTCAGTTATTAAGCAACCTAATGTGAGTGAACTGAAAAGCCAGTACTTAAAATGTAAATAGTTACTTAGTATAAAGATTTTAAAGTTCAAAGCTTTTTTTTTCTTTTGCCTACTCAGGCTGTTAAAACAGGCATTTTGTATGAGAACCCTTGAATAAGTATTACTTTGTCTTGTGTTAATTCCTGGCTCCCTTTCTTTCCTCATAGAAACTTTTCTTATTTAGAAAATCTGATACTAAATATGAAGCTAGTAGATTACATAAAATAATTTTCAGAAAGTTCTCAGCTTCATTCTGCCTAAAAAAGAAAAAGAAGTCATTTTCTAAGCTAATAGAAACAAGTCTTTTGTACTTTTGATCAATGTGTTCCTCGTGTTTCCTAACTGCCAAATCCATTAAGCTCTTGATTTTTCTTGATTATTCTGTGATTTTTTTTAAATGCTAGTTGGGATTACTTTAACTGCTTTCTTGAATAACGTTCTCCCTGGACAAAATCTTTTGTGCCTATTCTATGAACTTAGCAGTGTTCACCTCCATCTTAGTTCTAGCTTCAAATGCAAATCTTAAGGTTTAAAGGGGGCCACAGGCTTTCTGAGCTCATCAAATACTAGCTTGGTACTTGATTCCTAAGAATTTTCTTCACTTATCTCTTCAAAAACATTATTTTTATTCAAATCATTGTCTCTTATACAATTGCTGTAATCTTACTGGTTTCATGCATCACATTTTCTGATGTTCTAAAATGGCATTCCATCTCAAGAGCTTTGTACTTTATTATACTCTGGGCCTTTTCCCTCCAGTCTTGAGTGCTTCTTCCCACTTCTGGGTAAAACAGCTTTAGCCTTTTTCCTTATATTTCAAAAATCTTCCAAATACATCTCTTTTCCCAAATACTTTAAGCTGTTCTTAACATTGATGATCCACCAACCCAGCAATTGACATTTGGTTGGCATTTGGGTGTGCATGTTTCTTCAGAGATTGTTAAGATTAAACACTTTGCTTATAGACTGTGTAGTCTTAAGCTAAAATAATTGGCTTTCAAACGTTTTCAGAAGAGCTCTTTACAGCACTATTGTTTGAATAAGAGGAAAAGATTACCCAAGGGAGAGTGAGGCAGAGAGCAGCTGATAGGCCATGGATAGTTCTGCAGAAAGGAAGAAGAAATAAAACTGCTGAGTATTTTTGGATAGTCTTGTTTTTTAAATCTAGAGGATGGGTTTTCCTTACAAACTTCAACAGTATTAAACACTAGCAATTAAGTGGGTTTATGAAACATGATGTGTTTGAGGTTTATCAGGGTATGTGGCCCTGCTTTCTCTGACATTAGAGGACCTAATTTGCTGTTACCTCAAGTTTAGTTTGTGTCACTGTATGAATCTCTAGAGGCTGCATATTTTGTATATCAGGAGATTGGCATTCCAATAACAGGATTTATTAACATTGTATATTATATAAAGCCCTGAGGTGACTCTGTGAGTAAAGTTTAAACATTGATTACTATTGTCTGCTCTTAGACTTTTTTGGTATATTTTTGAATAGTCACTTGTACTTCTTTACCATTTTACATAACTACTGAAACTTATGTTCAACATAAGAAAACATTCTGATTCAACATGTTACTGGGTTTTGTTTTATATAATACAAATTTTAATCTGTGGCCCACTACTACCCCAGGCATTTTAGTGACCTGTAAACATAGAAAAATGAAAAGTTCGTATCTGAAAATGGTTTGAACTGTAATAAGTAGATATACATTAAAAATTGTGATTAAACATAACATAGCCCAACTGGTTTAACTTTTTGGTACAGGGATCACTTAACCACTAAACCACATCCCCAGTCCTTTTTTTATGTTTATTCAGAAACAGGGTCTACCTAAGTTGCTTAGGACCTTGCCAAGTTGCTGGGGCTGGCTTTGAACTCTATACCCTCCTGCCTCAGCCTCCCGAACTGCTGGGATTACAGGTGTGCCTGGCTTTGAACCATTTAACTTGAAAAATGGATTCAGTGTTGTTATGTTAACACTAATTCTCAAGTCCATATTTGCAAATTGGGCTCTAAAACATTCAAGGGTTGTGGATAACTTGAATCGGCTTGATTATTTTTCTTAAAGAGGTAATAAATTTATTTCTAGCTAGGCAGAGGTAATTCCAGCTACTTAGGGGGCTGAAGCAGAAGGATCACAAGTTAGAAGACAAATGTGGACAACTTAAACTCCATCTCAAATAAAATAAAAAGGCTGGGGATGTAGCTCAGTGATAGAGCACTTGCTTAGCAATTGCAAGACCCTGAGATCAACCCCAAGTACCATATTGAAAATAAATTTTAAAAACAAAATTGATTCC